TTTTCATTTTTCATCAGGGGTTTAATAAAGCAGAGTGTGACTGGTAGGGAACAAAAAGATGATCAAAGATCTGGCTCTGGGTATCCCTGGGTGGCTCAGTGGTTTAGAGCCTGCCTTCAGCCCAGGGCCTGATCCTGTAGACCCAGGATCGAATCCCATGTCAGGTTCCCTGCATAGAGCCTGCTTCTTTGACTGCCTGTGTCTCTGCCTCTCTCATTCTCTGTGTGTGTGTGTGTGTGTGTCTCTTATGAATAAATAAAAAATCTTAAAAAAAAAAAAGATCTGACTCTTAGAGTAACGGTTTTGTTCTCTGAAGGTGGTTGTATATATTTAAGTTGTTCCTTGTTGTCACTATTATTCTTGCTAACGCCCAGATGAAGTTGACTTGTTAAGGGAGAAAACAGCTTAAAACAAAACCTCTTTATCCTTATCTGAATAATGTTGGCATTGTGAGACCATGCAGTTCATAGGTTCCATGTGGGTGTGAAATAAATGCAAATTTCAAATTATAGATTTCCGCTATGGGGCTAGGATAGCTAGAGTCATCCAGCGATTCTTGCTTTATGTTGGCTTGTGGCTATTCTAGTTCCAAGACAAGACACACTTTATTTTTAAAATTAAACTTTGAAACTTAAAAATAAAAGTGGGGGGGACAAGTTTCCTAGGCCAAAAGGAATGATTTAAATTTTTGGAGAGCTCATCAGCATTTCAAGAGCAATGATAAGCCACTGGCATTTACTTTGATGTTTTCAGCTCAAGCACAGCCACCCCCACCCCCACCCCTGTCCCCTCCTGTGTCTCAGTGTTGTGCTGGGTGGCCACAGCTCTGGGACCTGAAAGTCTCTTAGTCTCATTTCCCACTGCTCTTGTTTGTGTATCTGTTTAGCCCTATGCCTTTCTTTAAAAAATTTTTTTTTGTTTTTTTAAAGCTTTTATTTTTAAGTGATTTCTACACCCAACATGAGGCTTGAACCCAAAACCCTGAGATCAAGAGTAGTACACTCTACCAATTGAGCCAATGAGCCAACCTGGGCCCCCCTAGCTCTATGCCTTTAGATCTTCTACAGGCATTCTCTCTTGTCTTTCTCTCAATATCCATTTATCCATCTCCCGTCTCGTTTTTGGTTCCTGCCCTGTGGCACTGACCTGAATATAGAAGTTTGACTGCTGGCTCACAATTGTTTTAGTGGCTAAGTAGACTTCACAATGTGTTCTCCATGCTAGGGTTGTCATTGACCTATGAGGGGGGAAAAGGTGAAAAGAGAAGGCCGAGGAAGAAATCTAATACAAACCTCCTTGGGAATGTTGGAGAATACCCTTTCTCAGAGGACACCTCGAGAAGTAACAGGTTGGAACTGCAGAGAAAAGAACATGACTCCTTGAGAGTCATTCATGGTCACCATAGTCTCTGCACTGGAGAGTCAGCTTTCTCTGCTGGGGCAAGAGGGCTCTGCTCTGTATCAGGCAGATGTGTTTTGGAGCCCTGATAATGCTTATATTGGGGTGACTTTTGGGGCAAGTCACTTGACTTCTATAAGTTTGGACCTCCTCATCTGTAAGAAATGACCAGTGCTATCTGCCCTGTGAAGTTGTAAGGATCCAATGTGTTTCCAAAACACCCACTATTCCTACACTCATTCCCCTCTTATGATAACTCTTCATTTACCCATTATTCAGAAGCTTGTTGTTACGGTGATTTGGAACCCTAAACACATTTACTCATAAGAGCCAATAGCCCTCAGCTTTGAGAAGTCTGGCCCCAACACCAGTCTATCTACTATCCTCTTTGTCTTCAAAGACTTGATTTTCAAGTCATGATGGGTTCCTCTGCTGTCTTCCAAATACTTCCCAGCTCCCCCAACCACAAATTTTTACTTCTTCATCCTGGAATCTCAGACCTCTGCTTAGAATCATCCAGCATATCAATATCCAGGTGAAATCCAAATCAAGCTCCTCCATTTCCTGATGATCTGTTCAGAACTGATTTATCTCTCATCTGAATTCCTATTTTACTTCATCAAAGCTGGTCATATGAGCCTTATAGTAAAAGTCACAACATACTGCTTTTTGTAGCTATTATAATGGGATTGCCGGGATCCCTGGGTGGCGCAGCGGTTTGGCGCCTGCCTTTGGCCCAGGGCGCGATCCTGGGTCTCCAGGATCGACTCCCACATCGGGCTCCCGGTGCATGGAGCCTGCTTCTCCCTCTGCCTATGTCTCTGCGCCTCTCTCTCTCTCTCTCTGTGACTATCATAAATAAATAAAAATTTATAATGGGATTGTCATTTTTTTATTTTTTATTTTTTGGGATTGTCATTTTTTTAAAGAGAGAGAGCATGTACAGGGGGGTGGGGGCAGGAAGAGGGAGAGGAAAAATCTTAAGCAGGCTTGGTGCCTAGGGCAGAGTAAGAGGTTGAGCTCGATCTCATGACCCTGAGATCATGACCTGAGCCAAAATCAAGAGTTGGATGCTTAACTGACTGAGCCACCCAGGTGTCCCAGCAATGTCATATTCTTATATTCCCCCCACTATTCCATAACCATTTGTTATTGAATAAATGAATGATTATAGCTACATTTGTTGAGTGTGTGCTATATGCCAGGCAGTGTGCTATGCCCTTTATATGTATTTCCTTATGCAATCATCATGGCAGTTTTTAAAAAATGTGCTATGGGGCAGCCCGGGTGGCTCAGCGGTTTAGCACTGCCTTCAGCCCAGGACGTGATCCTGAAGACCTGGGATCGAGTCCCACGTCAGGCTCCCTGAATGGGGCCTGCTTCTCCCTCTGCCTATGTCTCTGCCTGTCTCTCTCTCTCTCTGTGTGTGTGTCTGTCTCACATGAATAAATAAATAAAATCTTTAAAAAAATAAAAATAAAAAAATAAAAAACGTGCTATGATCCTCGAGTTATGTAGGGAGCTAAAGTTCAGATGACATAAGTAACTTTCCTAAGGTCAATTATCCAGAAAGTAGAGCAATGATTTCAACCTAGGGACGTATGACTCCAAGACCTATGCCCTTTCTACTTTCCAGGAGAGATAACCTAGATTGAAAGTAAACAAATAAAGCTAAAAGCAAGTACTGGGGACATTTACTGCCTCAGGTTTAGATGAGACGTTCAACAATGTTCCTAGCAGACAGATGACCTCAAGGCTGCTCTTTCTCTTACCAGGGAAGTCAGGTCCCGGAAGAGCAAAGGAGGGAGTCCAAATTTGAGGTCCACTAAATGTTGCAAAAAACGTTTCCTCCACTAGAGGACTCCCTCCCCCTGAGGCAAAAAGTGTAGCTTCCAAGGAAGGTGGTAGCCCAGGGATCCAGCTATTGACAGCCTGTAAGGAGGGCGGCTGCACTCCACCTCCCTGAGGCTCAATCCATTTTGCCTAAATCCCTAGGTCCCTGCAGAGCCTGGCCAGCCTGTGAATCCCTAGGGTAGTGCCCTAAACTGAAGCAGTGGGAGGACAAGCCCCTCTCCCCAAGTTTTCACAGCCACATCCTGGGCTCCCTGGATTAGGGATGCTTTGGTGTAGGTTCATCTGGGGGCTCCTTTCATAAACTCAGGATGTGTGGGGCAGGGGGCTGAATAGTAAACCTTCCTCCTTGGAGAAGCAGACTCAATGTGAATAATCCAGCAGGGCACTCCCCAAATGCCAGCCTGGCCTGCTCCAGGCCCTGAGCCCTTGGCAAAGGATGGCAGTGAAAGTGGTCCGTAGACACCTCACTTTGCAGGCTCTGCCACCCTGCCGCCCCTGTGGGTTTTGTTGAGAGGAGGAGTGGGGCATCCTCCGGAGAAGTAAAGCACCATTTTGGCTGAAAATAACTTGTAGAGAGGTGTGAACTACCTCTCTGGCTGTGGCTGCGCAGGCAAGGTGGCTGGGAACTCCCTCAACTTCACCTCTTCTCTCAAGCTGGGAGGAGAGGGCTTCTGCAGTAACCCATTGGGGTTCCCGGGAGGGACTCTGGATGGGGTTGGAGGTGAGAACTCACTGGTGCATTTTAATCAATAGAAACGGCTTTGAAGTGACATTAAGTGAAAAGAGGCAAATTACTAAACCACAGCTAAGCTATTATTACAACTACATAAAAGATTACAGTAAAGGCTTAAGAGGGGGTTAGGGAGGTGGTACTAAGGCCTGATAATCCTCCCTCTCCTTTTCTAGATTTGTTGATTTAGTTAAATTATGTTTAAAACGTGAAGAAAAAAAGGTGAGTGTAAGTTGAGTCAAAAAACATTTCCAAACACTTCCCTGTGTCCTGAAAGAAGGTGTCAGAAACAGGACAGGTGGCTGGACCTGAGAGCTCTGGATGGAGAAGCTCTAGCTCAGAGCAGCCCAGAGAATGAACCCGGGGTTCGAGTCCCTGGAGGGGTCAGATGCGAAGCTTAGTTGGCCCTGAGTGGCCGTCCACTGTGTACTGTACCTACGTGAGGATATTTTTCTCTAACGCCCACCCCGCCCTCTCCAGCGTGCGACCTCGCCGAGCGCCCGCTTCGAAGGCGTCGTACTGGGTCCGGGAGGGAAGCCGGCGGCAAAGGGCAGGCCCGGCAGCCACCGGGTGAGGCGGCCGGGGCATTGTTTCAGCCCCTCGGGTGGGGTCGTGCAGGGGGAGGGGAGGTGCTGTGTCTTCGGGACCCGCCCCAGAGCCCTCCCAGGGGACTCGTGCATCAGCGCGTCCCAGCGCCGGGGCTTTGTGAAGGGCCGTGGGTCACCATGGAAACCCAAAGGCACGCGGAGCAGGGCGCGAGGGGGGTCGGCGGGTTCTCGGGCCTCACTCTCCTTCCCCTCTCGGACCCCGGCCCTGCAGCAGGGCCTGTCGGGAGTTGTAGTCCCAAGGCGGCGGCCGCGCGCGGCGGCGAAGATGCGGGGCGCCGCCTGTGCCCGCCTCCCCCTAACCTGCTAGCGCGAGGTGGGGAGCGCTGGAGAGGAGGCGTCGGGTCGGTGATTGGCCGAGGCCGCCTCCAGCCCCCACCCACGTCCCCTCCCCAGCTCCCGGCTTCCGACTCCAGCGCCGCGCGCTCCAAGGCGGCGATCGAGCGAGCGCGCGTGCAGCCGCCGCCGCCCTGAGCACCCGCAGCTCCCGCGCCGCGGCGAGACCGAGGAGAGACGGACCGACCGACGGACCCTCGCAGCCGCAGCATCCCGGAGGAGTGCGTGATGGCGGGGCGGGCGGTGGGCTCATTTTCCCCGGGCTGGGACATCCTTCTCACGGCCTCCGTTGCTCTGGGAGGCGCACAAAAGGGCAGGGATAGGGGTGCACCCAGGGACCCGGCCTCAGGGGACGCGGCGGGAGGTGTGGTTTGGGAGTGGGGCGGCCATCGGGGCTAAACTGGGGTCGGGATCGAGTCCTCTTTGTACGCCCACAGAGCCCCGTGCAGTGCCTTGCTCATAGTAGGCGTTTCGAGCGTGCTCGTGGGATTGCAAAGAACTGGGGTGAGACGACGGCTTGGTTGAAGGGCTTTCACTCTTGGCACACAGTAGGCGCCCAGCCTCGCTCGTCGAGGTGCACTGAATGGCTGGAAGCCTGGGCGGGGGCTTCTCTGGCTACGGGCCCGTCCTGCCCGAATCCCTAGATGGTCGCTGCCCGTGGCCCCCCGTTACCACCGGTGCACGCACCCTGCGTCCATTTCGCCTCCGGGTTGGGATTTGCCCAGCCTGGACCGGACCCGACGGCCCGTTCCACCCGTCTGGCCAACGCGGCGGTGCCTAAGGACAATTCGCCTGCTGCCTCCGAGGCACCTGCCCGAACCACAAAGGCCGCCTGTGGCTGCCCGGCCCAGAGCGAGCGCCGAGCTGGGTGCCTTCGCTGGAGCCCAGTGCGGGAGCTCTCCCCGCAGCAGCGATCTTGGCGGGCGACCGACATCGACGCCCCAGGCCGGGGAGGGGCAAGAGCCGGAGCCAGACAGAAGCTGGGACCGGGAGAGGCGGACGCCAGGCCTCAGTCTGAGCAAAGATGGGGAGATGGGGAAGCTGGGTGGGGACAGGTGGACCGGCTCCGGGGAGAGAGGCAAGTGGAGACCAGGGTTTGAGGGGCAAAGAGAGGGGGCGGGGGGCGGGCCCGAAGAGGGAGGGAAGGAGTGCGGTGCAGGTGGCGCGAGGCGGAGCGAGTCTGGGGCTGATGAAGAATGAGGATGGGATGGGAGGAGAGATGCTGGGGGGTGGAGACCGCCGGGGTCTGCGGAGGGTAGACGCCTGGGGGGAGGAGATCCGCGCGGGCAGGGGGAGGGTCCCTCTGGGGAGGGAGGTCTCCCGGGGGAGGGAGGTCTCCGCGGAAGGGAGGCGCGGGCGGCTGGGAGGCGAGTCCCGGGCCTGAAGACCCTAAGCTCCAGACGTGGAGCCTGGCGGTCCAGGTGGCCAGCTGGGCGTGGCCCTTGGACAGGCGACAGACCCAGGATGGCGGATCCGAGACGGGGCTGAGCTGTCCCCACCAGGAGCTTTGTCTCCCGGCCTGACACAGCCCGTGGGGACTCGCTTCAGGTTTTGCGATAATCCGCAGCGCCGCAGGCACACCCTTTTCTTCTCGGGGCTGAAAGGCTTGGTCCAGTGGCAGATGCTGGCTGGGAGGCGGGATGGGGGACGTCTCCCGCCCGAGAGACCTGGAGAACAATAGCCGCCACTGGTATCCTCCGGATCCCGAACTAGGCCCCCCCTCCCCCGAACTCAAGTGTGCAGTTTTCTGGTGCAGAAAACGCTACCGTAGAAATCTCCGGGCGTGCCCTCGTCTTTGGGGGTTTATCTTGGAGCACCAACCCCTGCATTAATTCCCTGGTGTGAGTCGCGCGTCCCCCCAGACTGTGGGTCGGGCAGGAAGCCGCCGCCGCCGGCTTTGATGCCTGCTTGGCCTCCGCGCCGTCGCCTCCTGCCTCCTGCCTCCTGCTGTTGACCAGCAGCCCAGACGGCGTGGTGGCCCCGCGGCGACCTGGTGATTGCCTCCGTGCAGGGCGAGCTCCCTCGGGCGGTTGGCTTTGTCTGCTGAGGCTGGCCACGTCTAAGGTCTGCTGTTTATTCACAGAGGGAGCAGTCAGGGTTGGTGGGGATTGCGGTGAAATCGGGAGAAGTGGTTTTGGAGATTGATTACCCGCCAAGGGTGCGGCTCCTGGCTTTTAGAGCCTGCAGCCAGGGGACCAGAGCTTCCCATTGCCAGTGACCACACCCAAACCAGTGTGTCCATCCTTTTGCATATTTTGCCCATATTGCCTGCTGACCTAAGATGGGGATGGCTCTGTGATAGGAGGTGGCTGCTTGCCCATGGGAAAGCAGATGAACAGAAACGGAAACACAAAACAAGGATTCAACACAGCTTTCCATGCACTCATAGTGTTGCTGGCGGTGTAAGCATCTTTCATGTCAGGCTGCAGCATCTTGACATGTGAAAGGACTGCCCAATCCTAAAATTCTGTTTTAGAGATTTCCCTTGATCATTGTTTAGCTTATATTAAAGGTGACTCTTAAACATAGGGTTTATACTTTTAAATTGTCATTCATTTAATGAAAAGGTGGGAAGGGAGGGCAAGGCAGAAGCATTTTTATTCCAAGAGTGAAGGAAGCAAGGATAAAAGAGAGCATCATAGGACTAATCATTGAGACTTCTATTTGCCATTAAGTTAACTGATGAGCCTTTGGCTCTGTCTAGCGGTGAAACCCCAGGATTTTCTTTCTTAACCAGGTTGATGCATAAGGCTGTGATGTCACTGTTGGCTCTTGTCCAGAACATTTGATAGTTGCCAACCTGAAGGCCTCCTATCTGGAGTATACTGAGCGGCCACAGGAAAACAGCAGTAGACTATATCTTACTGCTTTTCAAGGATGGTGTTTTGAGGTGGTGCCTCTCAGAATTTACAAAACTGGTCTGAAAGGATTAGCTGGAATGTTGTTCACTGGATGTTTTAAGCTAAGCGAATAGACCTATCTATCTCTAGAGTAGATGAAAACCAGGAATCTCAATATTAGAAAACCTAAAATCTGACATGAAGGTTTTTTTCTTATGAAAAAGCTTCAGTAGGAAATGTGTTTTCACATCATTATCCCAAGGGAAAAGTTTCAGGAGGGCATCTTTTATTGGTTTATGGATTATTATTTTTTTATTATTTATTATTATTTATATTATGGTTTATTATTATTATGGATTATTTTATGGATTTGTTTAAGGATATAATGCTACCAAGCCCTGTGTGAACATCCCAACCAGTATTTTCCTCCTGGGGAGTTCAGAGATGAGGAATACCAATATGATCAGCCCATTTCTAAAGGGAAGATGGGGAGAAAGCAGCATCCCCCTCCTATCTCCTATGAAAATGTCTGAGAGGGGGATCCCTGGGTAGTTCAGCGGTTTAGCGCCTGCCTTCGGCCCAGGGTGTGATCCTGGAGTCCTGGGATCAAGTCCCACATCAAGCTCCCTGCATGGAACCTGCTTCTCCCTCTGCCTGTGTCTCTGCCTCTCTCTCTCTCCCTGTGTTTCTCATGAATAAATAAATGTTTAAAAAAAAAGAAAAGAAAAGAAAAGAAAATGTCTGAGAGACTGGGCCCAGAAGGGAGAGGCAGCTGAGTCCCAGAATTCTGGGGTGCCATTCTTAATTCTCATCTCCTTGACCTTGAGGACCTCAGCTAGGTATATACAAGGTGCTCACAGGCCATGAAGACCTGGCTATTTTCGGCATAGCCTCTCCAAGATGGAGATGTAAGCCAGCATAGTTTCAATATGCTCAATGCACTGTGTATTTCCACCTGTGGGAACAGTTACACAGCAAGGCAAGAGTACACAATTGGTCAAAGTTAAGTTTGGAGACTTAGTGTACGCACCTCTGTCCTCCAGCCATGCCTCTCTGGAAAATTTCCCTCTTTGGTAACAGCTCCTCTCATCCAGGATTCAGCATGATCCTGCATTAGCTCTAGGGAATTGTAGGCCAGTGGCCATCATAACTGAACACATCACTGAAGTCAATTAGGATTTAGATAATTACACAGAGCCAGATGAGTTGGTATTACTAGAAAACAATATCTAAGACCCCAGGGTGTCTGGCTGGTTCAGTCAGTAGCACATGTGACTCTTGATCTCAGGGTGGTAAATTCAAGCCCTGCTTGGGGTATAGAGATTACTTAAAAAATCTAAGATCCTCTCTATCTTGCTGGTATAAAAATTAACCAAATTCTGATAGAATCTGATCCTGTCCTTTCTTATTTCCTGAGCTATAAGAAAATAATTTCAGAAAAGTCCTCTAAGACTTAGTTCACTGGATCCTGTAGGAGAACAATACAGAAAATCTTTGTCCTTGTGAAAACCTGTAGGAAGAAGTTGATGTAATATGAAATCAAATGAGAATAATAAGTAAGATATTTGATTTCATTGCACTGCTAGTGAATAAATGAGAAATAATTTCAGGATCACTTTGCCTTAAATTTTTTTTTTTTTTTTTTAAGGATTGATTTATTTCAGGGAGAGCGAGGGAGAGTGAGCTTGAGCATGAGTGGGGGGAGGGGCAGAAGGAAGGAATCTTCAAGTCAGCTCCCCACTGAGAGTGGAGTCCCAGTAAGTGGCTGACTCTCAGGACCCTGAGGTCATGACCTGAGCAGAAACCAAGAGTCAAACACTCAACTGACTGAGCCACCCAGGTGCCCCTGCCTTAAATTTTTTATATGAAAATGAAAGAAAGGTTCAAACAGTAAGGTAGAAATCTTCAATGAAATTTGGTATTTTTGTATAAAGTGGACACATTATATACTCTAACAAAAGAAATTCATGAAGGAATATTGTTTATAAAAAAAAGGAATATTGTTTATGATGGCTTCTATTTCAGCCTTTGAAACTTGTTTAACTTAAAAGAAATACACTTCACTGTAGAATCCTCTGAGCCCTCGGATCGTCCATTTTTTTAAAAAAGATTTTATTTATTTATTGAGAGAGAGAGAAAGTGTGAGCCGGAGTGGGCGAGGGGAAGGGCAAAGGGAGAGGGAGGAGCAGACTTCCTACTGAGTGCAGAGCCCCTAAGCAGGGCTCGAGACCCCAGGACCCTGAGATCATGGCCTGAGCTGAAGTCAGGCGGTTAAGGGTCTGAGCCACCCAGGCGCTCCCCTTGTGCCCTCCTATCAGTCATAGCCTAGTTTGATGCTTGTTCTAGTGTGCCTGCCTGGACCCCCTCTTCCCAATCCAGAC